ATTAGTAAAAGGTTTCGGGTCAACCGATTTGCTAAAAGTCTGACCCGGTTGATAAAAATTTCGGGTCGGGTAGTCGGATACACGGTTACCCGGATGACTGTTTGGATCCCTAGTTATAACCTCCAGTGGTGCCTCAAGTAAAAACTTCTCGACGTTATTCTCAACGGTCATAACTCTTTTATTTTCTAAGTAAAGTTGCGTGTAAAAAGAAAACCGCAAAAAACAACTCGGTATTATATGAAAAAAACGTGTTTTTGTGCAAGGTTATAAAGTTTGATTTTTGTCAAATTGTATCGTAAATACAATTTTAACAAGACTCTAAAAAACGTGTTAAAGTGCATTTTTGAAGATTGACATCTGTGAATACAACCTTAATGAGATTCTAAAAAACGTGTTAAAGTGCATTTTTGAAGAAATCCGTGTATAAGAGGGTCCCCCGCTTTTAAGGGACCCCTTAACATGTTTTTTAGAGTCTCATTACTGTAACGTTAAGGTTGTATTCACGATAGGGTTCCGACCCGTCGCAAAAATCTCCACCCGGATGGGCAATTCTTGGATGTGTGGCACATTAATTAGCCACAATGATCTCTTTAATTTCAAATATGTATAGTATGTTCGTATGAGTGTCGATCACTCAAATTTCATAGTAAAAAATTTATTCACCGTGACATCTCGATCCTGTTAGTATCAATGAAGTCAGATACGTAGTTTATTTTATACTTAAATATATATCTTATTTTGAATACTTAAGGTTAATAAATGGTTCGTATTAAAAAGCGTATTCTATTGCATATAAAATAGAATTTTAATACGTAGTTTAAATATTTGGGCTAATGAATATTCTTTGCTATATGCTCAAATCTAGAATAAAACTAACATCAGGAAAATTTTTTAGTGCTGTTCTGTGCAGATTTGCAAAAAAATTAATAAATTAAATGAAAACTGTGCAATCGCCAGTTATAGCACAGAGGTTAAATATCCTGTGCAAAATTTCAAAATATAAAAATTTTGCAGATTTGCAGATTTGCACTTATTTAATTTTTCTGATGAAATAAGAAACATTCATAAATTTGATTAAATTTAAATGCTTAAGTATTCTTTTTGCTCATACTAAAATATTTTATTAAAGAGATCCTGATACGATTGGGTAATTGCAAAATTGAACTGACGACATATATCGATGTTTTTAATTTTTAGCTTGGTACTATTTTTTAGCCAATTAAATGTTTTTGGAACGGATCTATTGTAACAGCAAAGTAATTTATTAGAAAAATATTATTGGCTATTCATTGGTTAATAATATATATGTTCCAGTGAAAAAATTGTTCCAGTGGAACTTTTCAATGGAATTATTGGAACACCGAAAATCTGGACGTCCAGTAGAGTTCCAGTTTCCAGCCCGACAACACTGGGTATACCTAATGTGAATAAATGTATATTATTCTGAATCATTTGGTTCGCTAGATGTATCTTCCTCTTTCGCTTTTTGTTGTTTAGCATAGGCCAATTGTTCTTGCATCATTTGATATACATATTTTCCAATATGTTCTACGTCAGCTATTTCATATGGTTCACCATAATCCTCAACCTATTAATCATTAAAAGGTTATATTTAACAGTTGTCATATATTTACAAGTTAGCAAATTATCATAGACTTAAAGAAAAAAAATAAATTTGTTATATACATCTCTCTTTGAAGGCCACATCTCGTTAATTTTCAGATTCAATTTAGTGGGACGTTTTAACAGTTCGTCGAATGTCGGTGTCAATTCATAACAGTTTTTAAATAAAGCGAGGCGGCAAAAAACATATAATCCCAATCGAGCACGAGACATTGCCACAATAAGACGTCTTACATCTCGAATATGTCCAACAGACTTTGTTCGTACCAAAGACAAAAGAATATCTATACCAGAGATATATATTTTAATGATACAAAGCATTGAGAAACTATAAAAAATAATAATTAAATGAATGCTTACAGTCGTTCTGCTGTCCTTGAAATTTATCAACGGTGGTCACTTTAGCAGGACGACCAAATAAAGGATTCCAAGAACACCGTTGCTTTAATACGTCTCTTATTAAAGCTTTTTGTCCGTTATACGTGGTCAAAATAGAAATTTTCTCGGACGGATACCTTTTATAAAAAAATACTTTTAATATAAGGCAAATGAAAATATATATATAAGTAAACATATATAAATACCCCAACAATCGCATGTATTGATACACCGCAACAATGAATTCTGCTTCACCAAGGTTCTAGTAATAGTGTGTGCGTTAAATAAGCTAAACAAGATACAATAATGATAATATAAACATTTAAGAATGATACCTGATAGAAATACGGAACGGGCTCTGTTTCGCCTTTGCTCATATAGTTGTCGACATTTATCACTTGAAAATCGTAGGTAAACCTTTGCAGATAAACGTGAAAACTGTCAAATTACGAAATATAAAACTTAGGATAAAAATTTGATAAAAATATCATCATACCCAGCATTTGCATATTTGTATTCTTCCTGTTCAGTGACAGACGATAAATCTCCCAAATCTTTATATCGCCAATTATACAATTTCGCGACTGATGGTCGTGAACGACCCTAAATTTATTCATACACAATGATTTAAATTTGAAGGGAAAAAAAATTTTTTTTTTTTCTGAATCACTAAAAATTTATACCTGTGAATCTAAATCAATAGTAGGAACTCCGAGTCTGACAAATCGAGTAAATAAACTCTGTTCCATATTACCATATTGCTGGAATGCCATATTTTTCACAACAGGGGGCAATTGATTATGATCTCCAATCATCACTACTCTCTTTAGTCTGCTTCGGCCGTCTTCAGTTTCTTGTAAAAGTAAAGGAATAAAAGTCTCCACTTCTAATATTTGGGCTGCTTCTTCCATCACGACATTGTCATATTTGAATGCCAATAAAGATAACTCGCGTCGCTATAATGTCATATAAACATTAACTTGCATTAGTGTTTTTTTTTTTATTAATATACTGTCTCCCAAAATGTTTTCAACCGCCTTGATTTAAGGAACTTTACAACTTTATACAATACACCAACTTTTTATAATTGAGCATATGGTAATTTTTCAGCTCCGATGGTCGAAAAATTTTTAGGAGATAAAAAATTATTTACTCACCTTGAGTGCTGCATGTGTGCAAGTCATTGCAATTATTTTGGCTTCTTTAGTTAATAAATAATTGGCTCTATCATAACTTGTTCGCAACAATTCGAATCCACGAATTTCTTCAAGTTCTGTAAAAATTTTTTCAATATGTCGAAAGCACCCCTCAGCAATCTCTAACGTTTCAGCATAATCAGCATCTTCCGGAAAAAGTGGTTGTGGAGCATTGTTAAAGTAATTACTAAAAGGAAATTCATTTCTTATTATCTCTACTCCAACATTGCCATTCTCTAATCCTTGTCTACATTTATCTATATAAGGTTCCCATCTTGATAAAACGTGATACAAATAAAAGTATCCAGCAGTTTCACATGTGTATCCATGCTCACCACCAATTTCTAATGACTGAGAAAGACGATCTACTTCAGAAAGCAGAGAAAGTCGTTTCTCCTGTAAATAATATAAAAGAATAATTTAAAATCTGTGTATGTAATATTAATAAAGTTGAGAAAGATGAATATACCAAAAATGAGTTAACACGGCCATATTTACTGAAACTCAATTCAGTATTTAATTCTTCTTCTCCATGACCTAAGCGAAGTAAATGACGTTCGTCGACATCTGAATATTTAGGAATATATAGTGATCATAATCAAAATTAATGATTTTGATTTTTATAATACAAATTAAAATGCGATTCATTTTGTAATTAAGAACATTTTTAAATTACCAAGTGCCATTATTTTTTCAAACAACTGATTCAAAGCTTGATTGCTATGAGTAACTAGTAATGTATGCTGATCGGGAAAATTGTTGTAAAGATTGGCAATAATTTGAACGGCCACATCTGTTTTACCAGTACCCGGTGGACCAACTATCAATGTTAAACCTGGATTTGTTCCTGACTTAATTGCTTCCACTATAATTAAAGTAGATCTTTAGAAACATATTATGAAAAA